CCAACAGAACAGTACTCATCGATATGTTCAAAGTGTTTACAATAAAAATAATAGTTTGGCATATTGTCATACATGACAATCTACAGTACCCACCACGCTTCCCCCTCTCAATTCAAATCCTATCAGGGAGCTTATACCCCAAGTCAACCTCTATAAATACCTCTGCTTCACTAGTTTGGCATAAATAAGATGTTGCCTCATCAATGCAAAGTGGGACTCCAATTACCTTGATTAATGCAAATAAATTGCTCTTGGCCTGAGAGTGAATGGGCAGGAGCGTAAAGAAAACTTAGACATGGACGATATGGGTCTCATGCTTTGGGCTAAAACTAGGTGTCCATTTAAAAACTCGTTTCAGACATTCATCAATATACCAAGTGGGTTAGAGAAATAATCATGAGTAGTCATCCTCATGCGCCAAATGGATCAAAATATGTTATGCATCAATAAAGCCTATCATAAAAATCACCATGAAAACCAAATTTATAAAAATCATCACCTACCTTAGCCACGGAAGGCCTGCAGTTAGAGAATTTGCTTACAAGTATGAACTTGTATGGCTCAAATAGGAGCTCCTCCTCCTCGGTAAATGAGATGGCAGGTTCCCCCATGTGCATGTACAGTTCCTTAAAAGCAAACTTCTGATCACTGGAATCCTGTGTGGCCTGAAGGATAGGTGCAAAGGATTTTCTTAGGCTCGGCTCAACTTGAGAAATAACAGGTTTGCTAAAAAGGGCAGTAGTGTAAGATTTCTTACCCTGGGCCTGTGATGTCTGACCAATCGGTGGTGACTTAGCTTGAGTAGCGAGCCTAGAAGCAGTAACTTTACCTCGGGGTGCAACACAAGGTGGTAAAATCTGGGTTTATGAGACTGTGTGCGGATTAAACTGATCAATCTAATGAGTAGAGGCCTGGGGATTGCGAGGATCAGCTATTGGTCAAGTTTTTTATTTTCTTGCATAGGCATGCTTTCCAATATTTAAATTCCAGTCAAATTAGATGCCATGTTAACCAACCCAGGGGTTTTTGGATGTGTTGAGATCAATGGAAGAGTCTTCATAAACTTATTCTTCCCAGAAACTGCTGAAATGGCAACCTCATTTAGCCCTAATGCAACATCACCAACTCAATCGGACTCAATGGATATCATCCTAGGGGTTTTCGAGGTTCCTAATCCAATAAGGATGGTCCCATGCCCGGAATCCCAGCATAAATGGCATAATTTACCTGAACAGATTGCACATGGTCAAAAGAGGAAGTTGACCTTGTAATTGGAGGAATTTATGCAGCAATTGGAACCTCACCCATTGTTGGTGATGCTTGACTTGAGTTTTCCATGGTCGAATTAGTGATTGGAGCCCAGTAGAGTCACCAATTGGAGTGGGAAAGCTGGTTTCCATTCGTGCAAGGAAGAGGCTAGATTTGACACTAACTACTAATCTTTAAATAAAAAATATAGGATTCATCTTCATTCAATACAAACAATAATTTAGCCTAGCTTGATTTTTATAATGTTACAAGAAAAATAATGAAAAGAAGTCATTCAAAATATGAATGAATGCAAGAAATCATGCTCTTCAATTATAATATCTAAATTTTCAAGTTTTTGATGTAATTGGCCTTTATTTCTTGAAAGGTTTGATCTTCTCTCTCAAAAGATGATGAATTCTCTTCCTCTTGATGAATTTTGTGATATGATGTGGTATGAGAGGTTGGAGAGAGATCTTTTGATATTTAGCTCTTGTTATATATTTATATGTGGTGAATTTAGGTCAAGAAACGTGTTCAATTTGAGTTTCAAAAGAATTTATATCATGAAAAAAGTTGGTCCTTTTCAGTCAAAATTTCACCCATGCCCATGTATATAGGGTTGGCAAGGGAACGCCCCACTCCGTTTTACGTATCCGATTAATTATTATTATTATTATTGTTGTTGCTATTGTTGTTGTTGTTCAACTTTTGATAATTCATTTTATTGCCCTCATTCATTAAAGCGAGACATTAATATAGTTATTAAAAGTTTTAATTAATTTATTTGTTTTTAAAAGTTAAATTATTCAAATATATTTGGTAAACTAAGATTTTCATTATTTATCATATTCCTCAGATAATCTTAATTGCCATCTCTATTAGAATTAATGATATTATGTGGAGATTTTTTTTCATTTAAAGTATTAAATTCTTAAAAATAAAAAAAAATAGGGTGGGGGTAGGACCCCTGTTACCCGTACTGGCCTCGTACTTGCCTCAGAGCAAAATTTGTCACCTTGTACCTGGTCCGATTATTAGATTAAGCAGGGTAATCCCCGTTTCGTTCGAGATGGGTTTGCAGGTATCGAATTTGACGAATATTTTTGTCATCCCTACATGTATGGGCAAGCAAAATTGTTCTTAGGAGGTGAAAAACAGCCCTTGCACGAGCAAGGGCAATAATTTTTATAGTTCCCAAACTTTGGAAGTCATCATTTTTCACCGTTTTTCATTTCGTTCTTGCAATTGCACTTCAATTCATTGAGTTTTATCTAATAAACAATAAATACACAAGATTAAGCTATAATTCATCAAAAGTAATATCAAATATTCTTATTTAACAGCCTAGATAAGCGTATAAACATTGGCCGATGGCGAAACTAAAATTGCTAGTTGTAACTATTTGCATCAACTTCATATTTGTACTTCATTTTTTGTTTCCCTTTTACAGTTTCGTGTTTACAAATGTAACTGATAGAATAATTTATATGATAACTGAAATTCGATCAAGGGTTTAGACATCTCCTCAAGACTAGTTTACATTTCAGGTTTGATAATCCAGTGAATCATCCAGAACGAATTGTTTCAAGATTAACAAATATATCTATAGTGTTCTGAAAGATGAGACCGAAGGGTAAATTTTAGCAGTGTTATTTACTGTGAATAGTAAGAACAGGGAAGAAAAAATACCTTGCTTACAAAGGTAAAAGGGAACAAATATAGTACCCATACCGGGAAGAGTTTATTCTACAAGGTTTTACTTATAATCAGAAACTTGTTCTGAGCTACTGAATGTTAATGTAAAAAATATTCAAAATTTTGTATCAAGAAGACTATCAAAAATAAGTTTTAGATCTTTTTATTCAATCAAATGAATCTCAGCAATTGAAAGAGGCTTCACAGGTTGAAATTTCGTTTATTACTTGAAAATTGAAATTGAAGAAGTCCATTCATTTCAATGACTCCAGTCTAGTAGTCAACTTCTTTAGGTGCAACAAGTTCTCGAATGTAATTCTCAACGATTTCCAAAAGTCGTCAGATGTTTTGGGCAAAACCACGAGATATTCGAGCTTGTTAATATAAGAAAAAGCATAGCTTGGATAGTCATCATCTTGACCAAAAAATGATGAAGAATCTCGTGCTACAATTTATCTTCATCTGTTAGTTTTTTGTTGGTTTATATATTGCCACGCTTAAAATTTAAAACATTCACATTGTTTATAACCCATTTGTAGGAGGTAGATCAGACATATTTTGGTGATGTTGAATGTTGCTCTGCCAAGGGTCGTTAATACAACACCGTTCGGGTATGTTAAAAATCATATAAAAGTTGTGAACGATCAATAGAAGATTAATCACTCTTAGATAGTAAGCGATGATTTATATTTCATTCAGTTAAATTGATAACGAAATTCTTGACCAAGGTGTACTCATAAGTCGAAAATGAGCTTTCAACTTATATTGACTTAATAGTGAAATAAAAGATATGATCGATAATTGAGATTGACATATATATATCTTAATTGATTGGATCATATTAACTAAATGTTTATAATTTCAAGGTAAACAAATAAATTTGATTTTGTCAGACCATATGACATTTTTTTCACATGTATTGCCCTGACACATTATAGATATCAATCTGGGACGAATAATGTGAATTAATGATAAATTAAAATGGAGTATTTTAATTTATCAATTTTGATCAGATCAAAATAATAATTCATATCATTAGGTATCGTAATTGGGAACCTAAAAGATCACACACAGAAGGAAAACTAAAAGAATGAGATTTATCAATTAATTAATTGACAAGTGTTGAATAATTAATTAATTGGGTTACTTGTTAATATGCCAGAATTAATTAATTGAATTAATTACTTTATGGACCAAATTTAGTTAAGAGACGAGGAAAGTCCACTTGAACTTATATTAATAGGTTACTAGGATTTGAAAAATCATAAGAGAATATAATTATTCTTGCTAGCACATGAAAAGAAAATCCTAGTTCTCTCAATCTTATTCCCTAGATGAATTTTCATTGGAGGTTGAAAAATTGGACAACCTTGGATTACAAATCATGGTTGTTGGAGCTCAAGAAAAGCAAAAAAGTTTGCAGAATTCAATAAAGATATAATTTCTATCACAATTTTCATCTAAATACAAAGCAGATCTTTTGGTGGAAATTGAAATTTTGTTTAAATTCCGTTGTACATGATTAAGTAAATTTTCAATAGTTGCTATGTTGTTTTTCTGTTATCATTTAAAGGAGGAAAACTGAAACAGAATTCAAATTATTTGATGATTAAGGAATTGGAGAACGGGTGAAAATTTTCAATTCAAGCAGTTTGAATGCTGTTTCAATTCTCTTTCTTCCACGGTTTTTTCTGGAATAATTTAAGGTAGTATTCTTTGTTTTGTTTGGGTCAAAGTGCCTACTGCTTTTAAATTTTCAAAATCTACCAACCAGAAGCGGCCGAAAACTCCAATTTTCACCAAAAAAGAAAAACGTGTCTTTCACGGTCATTAATTCAGTCCAACTACAGAATGCACATAAGATCAATTAGAGGGTCTTTTTTGTTTTTAATTTCATATCAATTCTCAAAATTTACAGGTCAAATTGAATCAATTTATGCCTTGTAACTCAATCTTCCTGCTATATATTTAGAAGTAATATTGGAGCAGCAACCAATATAATCAAAGTAAAACAATTGAAAAAGATTGAGGGAGAAAAATTAAATCTAGAAACCATGTCGGGAAGTTGTGTTTTTACCATTGTAAATGCAGTCAAGTTCAAGGAAGAAGTTCCCACAACGAGTAGCAAGAACTTGATAGCCACCACTCTATTAATTGCCTCCTCTCTCGTGTTCTTCCAGCGTCATGGGAAAATAAGGGCGTCTTTACATTTGTTGGCTGGTACAATATTCAAGTATCGGGATCAAGATGCTGCAACGACGACAGAAAAGCTCGAGGAAGAAGGCGGCCTGCAACTCGATTGCGTCGTATGCCTGAGCCGAGTGTCTCGGGGTGATAAATACAAGATCCTTCCGACATGCAAGCATGGATTTCATGTAAATTGTATTGATGCTTGGCTGCAAAGGCATTCTACTTGTCCGCTTTGTAGATGTCCAGTTCCTCGTACTCCCATCCAGTACTGTTCCATTAGTACTCAGGATCCAAATTTCGATGCTTTGATTTCTTATCTTCTTCGTTTGTTGGATCATGTTCGGACATGGCTGATGGACCCTCTCGATGCTTTAAGCGAGGACCGTCTTCGTTCTCCTTGAAGATAAACACGATGAAGACCCAATTTTCCGGGGAAAAAAATACAACATTGATAGAAAGAAAAAGAAAACAGTAGCATTCATTCATTTTTTTTTTTCGTTGCCTTCATTAATCCTCCCAAATGAAACAAATTTCCACTCTATAGGATACCTTTCTTCCAAAAAAGGATACATATGAAATTTTTTCCACTGTATCTCCCACACAATTTCTTTTCTAATACATTTCACCAGTCGCTTCGAATACAATTGTGATATATGTTTCTAAAAGAATGCGGTAAAAAGTAAATCTCAGCAACCGCTGTGCCAGAAGTTATACAATTAATTGATCTCCTGTTCTATTCTATATTACGAACACCTAAATCATTTCAGCTTAGATTTTGAAGAGCTGAGCATAGGCTTTGCAACGGGGCGAGCAGCATCACTTCTCACTGCCTTCTTCAAATCATATTCGACTGATAAGAGAGAATAAACCAGGGCTACTAACATAGTTGGGTGAATTCCAGCAAGAAACTGCTGAAAGTCATTGAATATATAATTGAAACTAGACGATAGGAAGACAACAGCAAATAACAGCATATAAATTTTTCAATGAAGACGAGTTTCTGCAGCTATATTGTGTACAGAAACGTTTGCAGTAATTGAGATGACAGCAAATAAGAAATTATTGCTCCTGATAACGAAGACTGACATTAGTATGAACACGATAATTTAAGAATGTGATATTTTCTAAACAAGATACGATAAAGGTACCAAAATACATGGAAAAAGAAAGTTATGGAACGTGTATTCAACGATTGTTGTTGGACAACTATGGTCTATATAATTAAAACAGAAACACGACATCCAGCTTAAATGTTTTAGATAAATTCTTTATCCATGGAAGTAGAGAAGTATACTAATAGTTGGAAAACAACTATGGTCTATGTAATTAAAATACACATACATGATACAACAGCGAAGCAATGTATTGGCCATACGAGTACAAGGTAAATAGCTGGTGTAAATTGAAATAAGCACTGTTAAGGAGATAGATATTGCTATAACTAATGATAAGGATCAGCAACTCCCTCCAAACTCCTAGCTCAAAAAGACTTCATCTTCTACAGCATTCCTGTTTTATCATCCATAACAAACATGTAAATCCCTTTATACTTGTGTAAATCATCTCATACAATTGTAACCAATTTATTCTATAAATACAAGGCAATATATGCTGGTTTGTTTGTGAGACCAAAATTAGTATTTATATTCGTTTGGTATCAGAGCCTTCTCAAGCTCATGTTTATATGTGCAACTATGGCTACTACTATTGGTTCTACGCATTCTTTCGCTGCTTTTCACCTACCTGTGCAGGTTATTTCCATTAAACTTGATAGGAAAATTACCTTGATTGGAGTGCAAAGTGTGAGAAAGAGTGCAGGGAGTCCGGCGCCATGGCGCCCAAATTGTGAAAATTTGGACCAGTGAGGCAGGCGCCATGGCGCCCATGGTTCTGATCCATCTTGGCGCCATGGCGCCCGACTCAGCTATTTATATAGCTGGTTTCTCCCCTTCATTTTTACATCCGATTTTTGGAGAGAAAAGTGAGAGAGCTTGGATTGAATTTAACAAGTAAGAGGTTGTTCTTCTTGGGTATAAATTCAAAGCTATTTTCTTTTCTTGGGGATTAACTTGAGACTTGTTCAAGTAATCCAATCCATTGTTCTTCATTTATATATTGAAAATCATTTCTTCCCCATTTTTCTTGTTCTTCAAGTGGTTTGGAAATTTTCACTTTGCCAACTTAGTTCGATCTTTGGGCTATCTTTAGGAGGTCATTTTCTCAACAATTTGGTATCAGAGCTACATCCTAAATCAAGGTGGTTAAGCTTCGATTTTGTGGTGAGTTGCTTGAACTTTGTTGTGCACAAGGTGTTTGTGAAAATTCCCAAGTGAACTTTTGTGGTTTATTTTCGGTAAACAAGTGAATAAATCATGTCTACTAGAGGAATGGTGAAGATTGGGAAGTATGAGATAGAAAAATTCAATGGGAAGAATGATTTTTCATATTGGAGAATGCAAATAAAAAATTTGTTGATTTTTCAAAAGTTGCACAAGGCATTGGCGGGAAAGGAGAAGAAGCACGTTGATATGTCGGACGAGGATTGGGAAGAGCTAGATCTTGAGGCACGAGCGTCTATCATTCTTTGCCTTGAAAGAGATGTTGTTTTCTTGGTTGATAGTGAGGTAACGGCGACGGAGGTGTGGACAAAGTTGGAGGCGAACTTCATGACGAAGACTCTAACAAATCGAATCTATTTGAAGTCCAAATTGTATACTTGCAAGATGGATGAAGGTACACCAATCCGGGAGTACGTCAACAAGTTTGATAGGATCATATCGGACTTGAAGGACATTGATGTGGATGTAGATGATGAGGATCAAGCACTTCTACTACTTCTTCCATTGTCAAAGTCTTACGAGAACCTAGTACAAACATTGATGCTTGTGGGTGATAAATTTGTGATGGAGGACACTAGAACGTCACTTCTAGCGGATGATCTTCGAAAGATTGCAACTAGTGGCATGTCTACCATTGGTAACAAGGAGCAAGCTCAAGGATTGTTTGTAAGGGGTAGAAGCAATGTGCGACCAAAGGGTAAGGGAGAAAAATCTAGATCGAGTTCTAGACCTCTTGCGGAAAGGTCTTGTTTCAAATGTGGCGAGCTTGGGCATTTCAAGGCGAATTGTCCAAACAAAAGGGTTGGAAGAAGAACAATAAGAACAACAACAATGGGAAGGTGCAAGTCAAACAAGAGGTAAGATATGCCTCGAAAGGAGGGGAAAGCGATGAGTGCTACACCATCTCTTGTAATGAAAAAACCTCCGGTAAATGGATTCTTGACTCTGGATGCTCTTACCGTATATGTCCAAATAGGAAGTGGTTTACTACCTATAGAAGCACTGATGGTGGAACCGTGTTGATGGGTAATAACCATTCTTGTAAAACGGTGGGGCTCAATTCTATTAGAATCAAGATGCATGATGGAGTGGTTAGAACATTGATGGATGTTAGACATGTTCCTGATTTGCGAAAGAACCTTACCTCTGTTGGTGCCTTAGACTCCGGTGGTTGCAAGATTGTAACATGGAATGGAGTAAAGAAGGTTGTTTGTGGTTCTTTGATTGTGATGAAGGGTATTCGTGAAGGCAATCTCTATGCTCTTCAGGGTACTACAGTTACTGAAGATGTAGCAGTTGGAACAAGTGGAAGTGGTGGAGACCCATGTGAGTGCACTCGGCTATGGCATAGGAGGCTTGGGCATATGTCTGAAAAGGGGCTAGATTTGCTAGTCAAGAAAGGTTTGCTAAAGAACTTGAAGAAGCCTTGCATGGACTTTTGCGAGCATTGCGTGTACGGTAAAGCACACCGAGTTCAGTTCCAACCAAGCAAACATAGAAGCAGAGGCATTCTTGACTATGTGCACACGGATGTATGGGGCCCGGCTTCAGTCACTTCCAAAGGCGATTCCAGGTATTTTGTTACATTTGTTGATGATTATTCTAGATATGCTTGGATTTATTTTTTGAAGCATAAGAATGAGGTATTCGACACCTTCAAGAAGTGGAAAGCAATGGTTGAAAACAGAACAGGAAAGAAATTGAAGACACTGAGATCTGATAACGGTACTGAGTATACAGATGGTGCTTTCAAGGAGTTCTGTGGTAAGGAAGGCATTGTGAGACACTGGACAGTAAGAAATACACCGCAACAGAATGGGGTCGCGGAAAGACTGAATCGTACATTTCGAGAGAAATCGATGTGTATGCGATCCTATGCTGGTTTGGGCAGAGTCGGTTGCAAATGCTTGCTACATAGTGAAATGGTCTCCACATTCAAGGTTAGATGGAGATGTACCTTATAGGATACTGACAAGAGAACATGCAGATTATGAGAAACTCAGAACATTCGGATACACAGCCTACTATCATGTCAATAAGGGAAAACTTGATGCGAGGGCCAAGAAGGCTATATTCTTGGGGGTATGCGGCAGGTGTTAAAGGCTATCGCCTTTGGTGT